GGGGGGAGAGCGAGATGGGGGGGGGAAACAGCGACGGAAAAGAGCGACAGACATATAAATAGATATACATAGAGAAAAGGGGGGCGAGTGAAGGGAGAGAGCGAGGAGGGGGGAGAACCCGCGAGAGAAAAGAGCGACAGACATAAAGATAGATATTCATAGTGAGAATAGGGAGGAGCGTGAAGGGAGGAAGATGAGATGTAAAAGCGACTGAAAAGAATATGATTGACTATAGGGACGGGAGACATGAAGATGATGGATGGAGGGGGCGGGAAGAAAGCTCGGTGATTGGCTTTGGGTGACGAGGGGCCGAGAGAAAGGAAAGGGAGAGGAGAGAAGAAAAGGGAAGGGAGCGGGAGATAAGAAACAGGAAAGAGAGGGGGAGAGAAAATGAAGAAAAGAGGAAGCGACGGGTGATTAGGAAGGGAGGGAGGAGGAGAAGAAAGGAAGGGGAATGGTGATTAGGAAGGGAGAGAGAGAGAGGAAGACGATCAGCGCTGGTTGCGAGAGAAGGAACCCTGACGAGGAAGAGAAGGAAATATAGCGGGCGAGAGAAAGAAAGGAAATTTTGCGAGAAATTGGAAGGCAATGAGAGACGGAAGAGAGCGAGAGAGCGAGAGAGACGCAGAGAGGCCAGAGAGCGAGAAGAGAGAGGAGTAGAGAGAGAGAGAGAAGAGAAGTGAGAGAGAAGGAGGTGCGAGATTAAGAAATGAGAATTGATGAGAGACGTAACAGTCATTGTCGAGAGAAGAAGTCAAGTTAATTGGCGAAAAAAAGGAAAAGGGAATTTAGGTGAGAAAAGAGACGAAGCAAAGTGGGAGAGAAAGTACGAAAATGGTCGAGACCGAGAGAGAGAGAACGAAAGCCAGAAAGAAAAGAGAGAGCGCGACAAGAGAGAGACAGACAGGAGAAGCGAGAGAGAGAGAGAAACGCACGACTACCGCGACACTCGCCCGATCGGCACGACGCGAGAGAGAAGAGAGCGCGCGCATACGAGCGAAAGAGAGAAACATATGAGAAGAGAGAGCGCGAGAGCGAGAGAGAGAGCAGAGAAGAGAGGGAGAAACAGAAGAGAGAAGAAGCGCGAAAGAGAGAGGCGATAAGAAAAAGGAAGACAGAGACAAGGCGAGAGAGAGAGATATATAGGCACCAGCGCGAGAGCCGGGAGAGAAGAGACGAGGCCGCCGCAAGAGCGAGAGAGAAACATAAGCAGAGAGAGAGAGAGAGAGAGAGAGAGTAGCCGCGCCGAGAACGAGAGAAGGCGCGGCGAGAGAAGACAGACAGAGAGAGCGAGAGAGATGAGAAAGAGAGCGGCGAAAAGCGAGGAGGAGAGAGAGAGAGAGAGCGAGCGCGCAGGCGGAACAGGAGGGAGAAACATAGAGAAAGCGCGAGAGAGACAGAGAGACAGAAGAGAGCACGCTGCCCGAGAGAGAGAGAGCGCGCGAGAGAGAGACAGAGAGAGAGAGAACGAGCGATGGAGCAAGAGAGAAATAAGAGAGCGCGCAGAAAGAGAAGAGAGAGACGAGAGAGAGAGAAAGAGACAGAAGAGACGAGAGAGAGAGAAAGAGACGCGGCGAAGACTTGAGAGAGAGAGAGAGAGAGAGATGAGACGCAAGAGAACGTAATTGGCGACCTCTGAGAAAGGAGAAGGTAGATAATTGTCGCGAGACGAGATCTAAAAGACGTGACCTCGCTCTTCTCGCCTTCCCTGGGGGGAGGAATATCCCCTCCCTTCAACGCTCACATCCGCGGCCAGTGGCTCACCGCTCGCCCATGGCGAGGCGAAACACACCGACCTTTCAGCACGTCCGTGTAAACACCCAGCCATCAGCGCAGCCAGCAGCCAGGCCCACACGCCCCACCAGCGCAGCCGCCAGTCAGCAGGCCACACGCCAACGCCAGGCCCAGTCAGCGACAGCCAGCCAGCCAGCCAGTCGAAACAGCCAGCCAGGAGTCAGCCAGCCAGTCCACCACAGTCAGCCAGCCAGCCCGTCAGCCAGCCCTAAGTCAGCCAGCAGTCCAGCCAACGCCACGCCAGCCAGTCAGACAGGCCAGCCGTCAGCCAGCCAGTAGCGGCACAGGCAGCCACCGTCAGCACACTCCAGGCCAGCCAGCGCAGGCCAGCGTCAGCTCGACCAAGCCAGTTCAGCCGCCAGCCAGCCAGCCAGTCCAAGCCGCCAGCCAGCGCAGCCAGTCAGCCCAGCCAGCACAGTCAGCCAGTGCAGCCCCAGCTAGCAGGCCAGCCAGCCAGCCCAGTCAGCCAGCCAGCCACAAGCCAGCCAGCCAGCCAGTCAGCCACAGTCAGCCAGCCAGCCAGCCACAGTCAGCCACAGTCAGCCAGTCAGCCCACCAGCCACAGCCAGCCAGCCAGCCCCAGTCAAGCCACAGGTCAGCGCATCAGCCAGCTAAGCCAGCCAGCCAGCCAAGTCAGCCAGCCAGCCAGCCAGCCCAGCCAGCGCGGGGCACAGCGCAGCCAGCCAGCCAGCATGGCCAGCCAGCCCAGTCAGGCCACAGCCAGCGCAGCGGCAGCCAGACCAGCCCAGTCAGCCAGCCAGCCCAACAGCCAGCCACCGCCAGCCAGCCAGCCAGCCCAGCCAGCCAGCCAGCAGGCCAGCCAGCCAGCCCAGGCCAGTCAGTCAGCGGCCAGCCAGCCAGCAGGCCGCCCAGCCAGCAGCCAGCCAGCACACGCAGCCAGTCGCCAGCCCAGCCACAGTCAGCCCAGCCCAGTCAGCCAGCAGGCGGGCACAGCAGCCGCAGCCAGCGCCAGCCCCAGCCCAGCGCAGTCAGCCAGCCAGCACAGCCAAAGCCCACCAAGTTACGCCAGCCAGCCAGCCAAGCCGTCAGCCAGTCCCGCCAGCACAGCCAGCCAGCCAGGCCAGCCAGCCAGTTCAGCACAGCAGCGCAGCCAGCCAGTCAGCCAGCCAGCCAGTTAGCCCAGCCAGCCAGCCACTCTGAGTCAGCCAGTCCAGCCAGCCAGCCAAGCCAGCCAAGCGCAGCCAGCCACGTGCCAGCCAGCCAGCCAGCCACCCAGCCACCAGCCAGCGCAGCCAGCCATGGACCAGCGCAGCAGCCCAGCCAGCCAGCCAGTCAGCCAGGCCAGCCACCGCAGGCCACCAGCCAGTCAGCCCACAGCATCAGCCAGCCAGCCAGCCAGCCAGTCAGTCCACAGTCAGCCAGTCACGCACCCAGCCAGCCACAGCCCGCCAGCCAGCCAGTCAGGCCAATCAGTCAGCATCAGGCCAGCTAGCCAGCCAGGCCAGCCCAGTCAGCCGCCAGCCAGCCAGCCCAGCCAGCCAGCAGCCAGTCCAGTCAGCCAGCCAGCCACAGCCCGCCACGCCGCCAGCCAGCCAGCCAGCCAGCCAGCCCAGCCAGCAGGCCAGCCTCATTAGCCAGCCAGCCCGTCAGTCAGCCAGCCAGCCACAGGCACATCAGCCCCAGTTAGCCAGGCCAGCCCCAGCCAGCCAGTCAGCCAGGGCCAGCCAGCCAGCCACGTCACCGCCAGCGCACAGTCACGCCAGCCAGAGCCAGGCCCAGCCACAGTAGCACGGCCGCAGCCAGCCAGCCAGCCAGTCAGCCAGGCCAAGCCAGCCAGCCAGCCAGCCAGTTAGGCAGTGCCAGCACAGCCAGCCGTCACAGTCAGCCAGCCAAGCCAGCCAGCAGCCAGTCAGGCCGCCAGCCAGCCAGCCAGTACCAGCCAGCCAGCCATCCGTCAGCCAGCTCAGCCAGCCAGCCAGCCCCCCCCCCCCCCCCAGCCGGCCACCAGCACAGTCAGCCAGCCAGCCACGGCCAGCCAGTTAGCCAGCCAAGCCACCACCGCGTCAGCAAGCCAAGCCACCGTCAAGCCAGTCAGCCATCCAGCCCAGTCCAGCCAGCCAGCCAGCCAGTCAGCCAGCGCAAGCCAGGCCGCCCACCCAAGCCATCAGGCCAGCCAGCCAGCCACGCCAGTCAGCCAGCCAGCCCAGCAGCCAGCCAGCCAGCCAGTCCAGCCAAGCCAGCCAGCCAGCCAGTCAGCCAGCCAGCCAGCCACAGTCAGCCACCCGTCAGCCAGTCACGCCCAGCCAAGCCCAGCCACAGTCAGACCAACGTCAGCCAGTCAGCAGCCAGCCAGCCAGCCAGCCAGCCAGCCAGCCAGCCAGCCCAAGCAGCCACCGTCAGCCAGTCAGCGCCAGCCAGCCAGCCAGGCCAGCCAGCCAGCCAGCAGCCCAGTCAGCCAAGCCAGCCCAGCCAGCCAGCCAGCCATGCCAGTCAGCCCAGCCAGCCAGCCAGCCATCAAGCTTAGTCACCAACTACAATCAGCCCGTTGGCAGCCAGCCCGCCGCCAGCCAGCCAGTCAGCCAGCCGCCAGTTAGTCAGCCACCAGCCAGCCAGTCCAGCCCGGCCAGCCAGCCACCGGCCAAGCAGCCGAGTTAGCCACGAGACAAGCCACCGTCAGCCAGTCAGCCACTAGCCAGCCAGCCAGCCAGTCAGCCAAAGCCAGGCCAGGCCAGCCAGCCCCGCCAGCCACGCCGCGCAGCCCACCAGCCAGCCCACCGCCAGCCACCAGTAGCCCAGACAAGCGCGCCACCGGTCAGCACAGTCGAGACCAGCCAGCCAGCCAGCCAGTCAATCGTGCAGTCAGTCCAGCCAGCAGCCATAGCCACGCCAGACCAGCCAGCCAGCCAGCCAGCCCGCCAGCCAGGTCAGTAGTCAGCCAACTACAGCAGTCAGTCAGCCCAAGCCAGCAGCAGGCCAGCCAGCCCAGCCAGTCCAGCCAGTTAGTCAGTCCCACTACAGCCACGTCAGTCAGGCCAGCCAGCCACCAGTCAAGCTCACCGGTTTCCTTCGTTCGCAGCCCAGCAGTCACTAAGTAGTAAGGCAGTAGGCCAATGGACACAGCAGCAAGTACAGGCAGTAGTGAGTAAGCAGGCCAGCTAGCCAAGCAGCAGTAGCTGGGAGTAGAAGTAACTAGTAGCAGCAGGCAGTAGCAGGTAGCCAGTAGCAAGCACAAGCTAGCAAGGCAGTAGCGCACAAGGCAGCAGTACGCGCAGCACCACCATCACGCATCACCATCACCACCCACCAGCCAGCAAGCCAGCAGCAACTAACACCACCACAGCAACAGCAGAGCAGGAGCGCACCACCAACCACCACCAGCAGCAGCAGACAGCCCCGCAGCACCACCACCGCACCCAGCGGCGCAGCAGCATGGGCAGCACCAGCAGTAGGCAGCAGCTAGCAAGCTCCCCGCCTTCCTGCCCGCATCATTGGCATGTAAATTGGCTTCCCGCTTCCCCAGGCGGCCCCCCCTGAATACCGCAAAATTTCGTCGCGCGCGTGCAACAACATGAATCCGGATTGAACGCAGCACGCTATCCGGATACGCCGCCATGGGACTCGACGACCGTCCCGACACTTTCGGATCCGCCCCATCTTGGCCGGACGACGAACGGACGGACGGAACGGACGGGACGGACGCACCGAGCGACCGGACAACGGACGGACCGGACGGACGGGACCGGACCGGACGGACGACCGGCAAGGACGAACTGACGGATCCAGGACGTCAAGGATCGGAAAGGACGGCAGGGCCATCTGAACTTGCGATTATTCTCTAAAGCGAGGCAGCTTGTGTCTGTTTCGTGCGCATGCATGCCGCCCACAGAGATAGGCGGGGAGGGGTGGCAGTAGTCCAGCAGCCAGCCTAGTTTAGCCAGGCCAGCGCGCATGCATGCACGCACCAGAGATAGGGGGAGGGGTGGCTAGGACTGTTAATGTTAATAGGACAGTGACCTTTGACAATGAGGGTTGAGCAGACTTTGATGGACGCGCCGGGCGCATTTCTGTTTCACTCCAGCGGATCACCTTCTGCCCCCCCTGCGGCTCTCTCTCTCTCTCGTCTCTCTCTCCTTCTCTCTTCTGCTGCTGCTCTCCCTCATCGCTCTCGTCTCTCTCTCTCTTTCTCGATCTCTCTCTCTCTCCGCATCTCGTACAGGTCTCATCTCTCTCTCCTCCTCTCTATCTCTCCTCGTCGGTCTGGTCTGTCCTCTCCCTCTCCCTCCATCTCTTCTCTCTCGTCCCTCTCTGCCTGCTCTCTCTCTCTCTCTACTC